CAGCCCTGGAAGGAGGTGTATTTTTAAGCAGAGGGAATCAGACCCTTCCCAAGGGTCTGCAGATACTGGAAGGGCCAATTTTTCCTTTTTTTTTTTTTGTACTGCTGAGTGAAAGGGAAGATGCTGAGAAATGCACTTGCTGAGGACCAGCCCAGCTGGTCTGTGAGTAAATGGGGGTCCCAACACCAAGGGAAGGGTTGGAAAGGAAAATGAGGCGGCCTGAGGGAATGAACATGTGCTTTCAGGGTTTCTCAGGGCTGTGCCTGCAAAATCCCCCTGCTGAAAACCTGCTCTACTAGAGCCATGTGGTACCTCCAGCAGGGACATGGAGCTGTGATCCCCACTGGAGGTTTTTGGCACCACGATGAGCAGCCTGGAAGGGACAGCTGTGAGTCTGGGGGTTGTTGGCCACGAGAAAGGGGGACAAAATCAGGTTTGGGGTTAGCCCCAAGAGACCACCTCCTTCCCAGCTGGTGAGTAGACAGGTTGGCAGCATGGAGTACGTCTGTCTGGTTAGGCTGTACCTGGTTTAATCTCACAGGTTTGTACCTGCTGAGGCAGGATTCATCCCACTGGATGGGGCTGTGCTGAGTGCAGGGCTCGGATCACGCTCAGTGAACAAACACCAGATACCCAGCTCTTGCTGGGTTTTATTCTGCAACTGAGTCCAAACCACAAGGGTTGTTTTCAATGAAACAGCAAAGCCACCACCCCGAAAGGGATGGGAAAACAGACTTGTTTTCCTCTCGGGTGTGTTGAGGGCACTAATCATTTCACAGTGGGGGTTACAGCATCTGGGAGAAGCCCAGAGGAAGATACTGGGGTGTTTGTTCTTAGATCCCAGAGCTTTGCTGGTGCTACATGTGCCTTGTTCATTGCCAGCCCTCCTGTGAGTGTCACTTTGCAGTTCTCTGCCATCTTCGGGGTTTAATGAGACTTCCAAGCTTTCTGATGAATACATGGCTAGTTCCTTCTCTTTCCAGTTTCCAGTTTCCTCCCAAAATAAGATAGTCACCACTGTGGATCCAGCAACTGGATCCATTCAGTGCTCTGGGCTTCTTGGAGGTGGTGGAGTCCCACCCAGTTCACTCCCTGAGTTAATTTTATACAGCCCCTCATGAGAGGTGAGAGTAGGAGTGGTTTTGAGTCCACCTTGGTGGGATCTCCTCAAAAATGAAACTGCCTTACTTGAGACTTGCTGCCCCAGAGTCTCCCAGTGCACACACGCCTTGGGCAGCATCCAGAGGTCGAATGGCAGAGAGCTGGAGTGGCAAGGCTTGCAAAAATGCCTGGGAACTGGAACATCCGGTGCTACACCAGTTTGAAATGCTCAAGTCTGTTCTTGGGCTCCGTGGTCCTCCCTGCGTCTGCTTCCCATGGGGTTAGTTACACGTCCCAGCAAGACAAGACCAAGAATTCCCAGAAAATTGAGGAGAATGTGGCCAGAGACCAAGGAATTGAGCAGAGGGGACACATGTAAAATGCAAAACTTTCCTTGTGGAGCAAGCTCAGGGATTTCTGCTGGCGAACCATCACTGTGACAAGTGTGTGGGCTCACAATGGTGGCAGGAGGAGTGGGTGGTACCCACTGAGCTGTTTCTGGAGGGGTGACCCAGAAAGTCTAGTTGTTTTCCTGAAATTTTGGCAACAATTCAGGACCAACACTACTTTTCTGCAGAAATAAATGTGTGGCAGGTTTTTTGCAGCTAACTCTCAAGAATCCTGGTAGATGCTTGCTGGAACTCTCCAGGTCATCAATCCCAGGGCAATCAGGAGGATCTGGGATGTCTGCAAAAGCTGTTCCTCCAATCACCTCCTCACTGCTGCTCTCCAGATGTTTCCTGTGAGGAGGCAAATGAAGGATCCTTAAGCTTACATCTTTTAGCAGGCAATCAGGGATTCTCTCCGCAGGGAGGGTTGTTCATCAACAGTTCCAGTGATATGAGAAGGGAGAAGTGTTTCACACTGACAGAGGGCAGGGTTAGATTGGATATTAGGAAGAAATTCTTGGCTGTGAGGGTGGGGAGGCCCTGGAACAGGTTGCCCAGAGAAGCTGTGGCTGCCCCATCCCTGGCAGTGTTCAAGGCCAGTTTGGACAGGGCTTGGAGCAACCTGGTCTAGTGGAAGGTGTCCCTGCCCATGGCAGGGGAGTGGAATGAGATGAACTTTAAGGTCCCTTCCAACTCAAACTATTTTGGGATTCTGTGATTCTCCATGTTGAGGTGGCACCTAAAGACCAAGCAGAGCTTTGGAGGTACTGCATGGCTCCAGTGGGATGCTCCCAGAGGACCACTGTGTTCCCACAGCTCCCAATGCTATTTTTCCTGAGGGAATAGGAGTGACGGGGGCCTGTGAGAGGGGAGCTCTTTGGAGGCTCAGCCTTGGTATAGTTGTGTTTTGGAGCTCATTTATTCAGCAGCTCCTTGTGGCCTTCACAAATGGATGCTGCTAAGTACAGAGACGTGACCGCTCCGGAGCTCGGTTATTTACAGCTCACTGCAGCTGACTTACCCCATCTCCATCAGCAGGGCTGAGGGCAGAAGGAAAGCCTTCTGGAATGAGAGCCAGGAGATAAAAAAACTCTCTCCCTGCTTTTTTTTCCCCCCTGCTGTTACAAACCCTGAGCCCATCCCAGCCTGACACGGGTTTGGGGGAAATCTGTAAAGCAGCAGGGATCTGGGGGTTTAGGTAGGGACCATGTGGAAACATGGCAGGAGCTTCTCCTCACTTCGACCTTAAAATGTGTAATTACAGCTCAAGTCAGTTCTCCCCAGTCAGCTGAAAACAAAAGGGCTTTTTTGCCTTGCTGTGTCCAGCTCCATCCTGGCAGCACTTACACAATGGGCTCTGTTGGGCCTCGCTCCTCTTGGATTGTGTTTGCTTCTGATGTGTAAGACAAAAGAGCCCTTCACCATGTTAAAAACCAAATGTCCCTGTGAAGGGCCTTGGTCACTGGCTGATGGGTCTGGTTTTCCTGCTGACTACCAGCTGTATGTGGCTTGCAGCTCCTTGCAGCCACTTTGTGGTTCTCAGTTGCTTCATCCCCATGGTTTATTCAGTGTTTCTCCTCTCTCCACCCAAGGCGGAGCTGCCTCTTAAGGTGTTTTCCTCCAACCAGCTGTGTGGTTGTCAGGAAACATTTGGGTATCCCAAAGGATAGTTGTGGTGCAAAGGACTTGTCTCTGGGCTCTCCCATGCTGAGAGTGGGGAGGAGCAAAGCCAGGTGAAGTGCAGCCTGGCTGTGCTCGGTTAACTCCTACTTTTCTTTCTCCCTGTGCCGCATCACTGTTGAATTCCCTGAAGTGGCTTTGTCTTCCTCAATTTCTCCCTGTGCCTTGCATGTCTCACTCATTTCTTCCTGGCTCTGTTTCCTCCTTCGCTCCTCAACCCCCTCGGCCCCTCATCCATCTGCCTTTTGGTCTGTTCTCCTCCCCTGCTCTCCCTTCTTCCCTCTTGCTCTCCTGCTCTGCACTTGATGTGATCCCTGGAGGCATTTTCTCTGCAGCTGCCTGTCCAGACATGTGATGGGCATAATATTTACAGGGCCCTTGTCCTTTACAGTCCAGTGCACAGACCTCACCGAGGGGTGACCCCTTGGGGTGGCACCTGAAGCCTCCCTCGGATGCTGGTGCTCGCTCAACCGAGGGATGGGAAGGGGGGAGAAGCCTCCCAGCCATCAATCATCCTTGAGCCTGCCCAGACTGAGATTTGCAGTCCAGGCCTCACATAAAATTATTGTACTGTTCCTCCTCCACCTTCTCCTCCTCCCTCCGTGCTTTGCTTCAGCATCTCAAACCCTCCCATTTCTGAACAGGGCTTATCTCTGGCTGAGGTGCTGTTAGGTGAGCCCCTGGCTGGTATCAGCTGGGGAGAGCTTTAGATTTTGATAAACTCAATTTTTTATTATTGCAACAGTGAGGGTTTAACACTCCTTAACTTCTCTTGGCTCATTTACTCACAGTTGGTGGTGGGAGGCAGTGTGGGAGCCCTGCAGCCAACCAGAAACATCACCCAAATTCCCTGAGTTCCCACCCGTTGCCATAGGATGCTGGTACCTTTGTGCTCCGAGGATTTCAGAGGCTGCAGAGGGATGATGTCCCGTGGTGATGTCCCTTGGCTGCTAAATAAAAGCAGCTAAATTCTGTTGTGTTAAAAAAAATAAGATAAAAATAAAGCACAGAGTTATTCACACGTGGCAAAAAATAGAGCTGGTATGTGATGCCTGCCTGTAGTGTACTCCAGGAGCTGAAAAGGCATGAGCTGGCTCTCTGGAACCAAGGGAAAGGTATTATTTATAGCCAGGCTCAGTAAATCATTCTTTCGAAGGTTTGTTTCCCCTTCCTTTTGTAGCATCACTGTCCCTTTCCCTTTCCCCCCACTAGCAACATGGCACTGATTGTGCTCGAGCCTGTAGGCAGCATCCCTTCCTTCCCTGCTCCCAAACCAGAAGGCACCATGAGGCAGGGACATGTTCCCAGAGGGGGATTAAATCAGCACCGTGCACCAGGGATGAATTTCCCTGTGCCAGACCTTGTGCTCCATTGCAGGTGGACATTTGTTCCCAAACGTGGCCCTGTGCAGGTGCTTTGCTCTAGCAGGGATCTGACTGGGAGCCATGGGGTTATTCCCTACCTTCCCCAATGCCCTTACTCGTTTTGTAAACCAAAAACCTGGGCATTTAAAGTCCAAAGGCGTGTGCTGAGCGATCAGCAGAGAATGAATCCATGTCCTTGCTTCTGACTTACCTGGCATGTCTTGAATAATGGATTTATCAGCATCAGGCACTGGGGAGGGGAATGGAGGCTGGTGCTGCAGGGCCCTGGGGGTGTGAGGAAGGAAATCAACCTCAAGGTGTTTTTGGAGCAGCTGGTTGAGAGCGGGGTTGCTTTGGTCTCAGCTCTGCTGTGGTGGGTGCCCTCTGCGGGGGGCCGGGGGCCATGACTGTGCCATGACCCACCACAGCAGAGCCTGACCCCACCTGCCCCTGGCCTGTCTTCCAGCCCAGCACTTCATCGCGGCGACGGCGTGCCAGGAGCCGGACTACGGCTGGATGATCCGGCACTACTGCCTGAAGCAGTTCCAGCTCAGCATGGAGGGCATTGGGCAGCGGCTCTGGTGCGACTGGGATGAGACCGTGGGGTAAGTGAGGCCTCTCTGCTCGTCCCTCTAGTCCTGGCACCCCAAGACCACCTGCACCTGTCTTTGGGTTTGGGGTTTTATTTCCTGGTGGGGGATGAACAACGTGCTGTTTCACTCTGCTGCTGGGGCTGCCCTGGCTCCACCCCTGCTGGGTCCAACCCCTGCTGGGGCTTCTCCCTCCTGTGGGGCCACAAGGTGAGCTTGGAGGGGAGAGCACTGGACGTTGTCTGCCCGGACTTCAGTGAGGCTTTTGGCACCATCTCCTGTAAGATCCCCACAAATAGGTGTGGGCTGCATGGGCAGACAGCGAGGTGGGTTGGAAACTGCCAGAGCAGCCAGGCCCAGGGGTGTCAGTTGTTGGACAAACACCAGTTGGAGGCCAGCAACTAGTGGTGTGTCCCAGGGGTCAACACTGCCCTGCTTAACCTCTCCATTAATGATGTGGGTGATGGGACCAAGTGTAATCCCAGCAAACCTTCAGATGACACCAAACTGGGAGGGGTGGGTGACACACTGGGGGTTGTGTTGCCATCCAAAGGCAACAAATCTAAAAGGATGGAGGAATGGGCTGATGGAACCTCCTGCAGTTCAACCAGGGGAAGGGCAAAGTCCTACCCCTGAGGAGGAACAGCCCCAGGCACCAGGACATGCTGGGGGCTGCCCAGATAGAAACCAGCGTGGCAGAAAAGGACTTGGGGGTCCTGGCGGGCACCAGGCTGAGCATGAGCCAGAAATGTGTCCTTGTGGAAAAGAAGGGAATGGGCAAAAACAGGCATGGGAGGTTCCCTCTGAACACCAGGAAATGCTGTTTCACTGTGAGGGTGGCCAAGCAGTGGCACTGATCGCCCAAGGAGGATGTGGAATCTCCATCCTTGGAGATACTAAAAAAGCAGCTGGACATTGTCATGAGCAACCAGCTGTAGGTGGCTGTGCTTGAGCAGGGGGGTTTGGACAAGGGGAGATGGGTCTCCAGAGGTTGTCTCCAAGCTCAGCCATTCCATGGTTAAAGAGGCTTTCAGGGAGCCAAACCTGAGCAGTGTCTGGAAGTCAGGATGGTGGCTGTGCTCAACCACGTGGCTCAGCAATGGAGCTTCAGTCGGAGAAGACTACAACTGTCTGGGAATCAGTGGGTTAATAAAGCAGCAGATTGGGACCCCTGTCACAGCTTCTGGTGACTCACAGCTTGATGGACATATTTTCCATGAGATTTTTGATTTTTTTCTCAGCACTCTGGTTCTCCAATCAGTCCAAAACTCAGCTTGAAAACCCCATAACCCACTGAGAGGCCCTCAGACCCTTTCTGTGAGAAAATCCCAGGCTGTCCCACTGGACCTGCTGGCTCACCCCCTGCTTCCAGGAGTTGTGTGTTGATTTTTCTAAGCAACTAGAGGGAGAGGCTGGAATGGTATAGCATGGCAGTCCTCTGCTAAGCCTCCTGTTTGTAATCAGTGTCAGGGAGTCAGTGGTGATTTATGACTTGGGAGAAGCAGAGATGCAGCTTCCCTAGTGGAGCATCTTTGGGGGATAATGAGGGGGATAAGGGAACCCTGCTCAGTGCAGCCCCATCAGGGAGAGCAGGGATGTTGTTTATGGGAAGTGTGTTTGATTTTGGGGGAATTTCTTTCAGTTTATTTTTATTGCAAACCACCCAAACAGCACTTTCCTTGGATTAGCTCTTTCCCATTTAGAATCAGCAGAGTTTTCTCCGTACTACCATGGAGTAAATCATTCTCCTGATGAGAGGGTTTTGATTGAAGTTGTGAAGACCAGTCAGGGGTGGCCACGTGTCACCATGAGGGCTTGAAAAGAGAAAATAAAACCCCTTTTTCCACCCTCAGCTGACTTTCCATATTGTACAGCGTTGTTGGGCCATGGCCTTTCCCTGGGAAAATGAAGCAAAGGACAAAAATGAGCTCTTGGGACACCGGTGGGGATGGAGGTCAGCTGGAAACAGCGAGCAGGTGGTGCTGTGTGCCATGAGCTGTTTTGCCCAAAAATTAGAGGTTTTGCAAGATTTTGGTTGATTTCCTGCTTCGTGGCCCTTTCTTCTGTGCCAGATTAAAAACTACACACACCTGTGTTTATGTATTTTTCGGTCAGAGGTTGGACTCAATGATCTTAGAGGTCTTTTCCAACTTTAATGGTTCTATGTTCTATTCTGTGATTCTAAACATACGTACTGGGTGTGCTGAGTGTCCCCCAGGGGCAGGACTTTGCTTTTGGTCCTGGTTCAGTGCTGTCTGCAGGCTTGATGAGCTCAATCCATCTTCTCCCCCAGCAAAGCCACTGCCCAGGGAGCAGAGGTGTTTAGAAGAGCTTGTTATCCCCAACATCCTGTTTTTCTCCTAAATAGCTTCAACTAAACTTGTTATCCTTGAGGCTCATGGAGGAAATGTTGATAAGCTTGCAGTGTTTAATTTGATTGCCTGAGTCCATTTGCTCCCTGTGAACACATGGCTTGGGGTCACTTAAGAGGTGACATTCCTCTGATCCTCTTGTGCCCTCAGGACTCTGGGAAAAATCAGGCAGAAATAGCTCAGCTACTGCAGTAAATGAGCTGCAAGGATATGGGGTTTGGTCGTGCGCCTTGCTCAGCAGCCTTTGCTCCCTGAGTGTGTGTGGGAATCACCAACCCCTTTCGGACAATAAGCAGGAGTGGGCAGGGGGTGGCATAGGTGGCTGGTCACCCCTCTGGCTTAAGGGGAAGGATTTGACTTCCTCCAGGTGTGAGATGAAGAAATGGAAATAACCCACCTTTTGCCTAGAGCCTGTTCTTTCCGTATCTTCCCCCAAACCAAGGAATTTTGATGCTTGAAACCTGTCTGAAGCAAGGAGAAATGCTGTGAGGTTTTGCCTCTGCCAGGGCCTGTACAGTTTCAGGTTTGGAGCTGTGATTTCCTGTACAGCAGCATTTAGCAGGAAAGAGCCTGTAAGGCCCATCATTTCCTGCTCAATTGAGGGTGACACGATGGGAACATCTGGATAAATGAATTGTCTCAGCAGAGTTTGTAATTGTGGTTCGTTGGTCCTGTTTATAGGCTGCAGATGCTGCTCCCATCTTACCCTCAGAGGCATTACCTGAGCTCTGGCCTCACTGATGCTGCAGCATTCCGATGTAACCAAGGGGTCTCTCAGCACCAGGAGTGTTTGGTGAGGTTGGGCTTGGACCATGTGGACAAGCACAGCTCTCTGGGAAGGTTTGTCCAACACCATTGAGCTCTGCTGGCTTCCTTAGCCATGCTTATTTAGGGAAGGTCGATGTTTCTGGATATGCAAGTCTTTATCGTGGACCAGGGGAACTCGTGTGAGCTGCTACACACTTTGGGAATGGGATGCCAGGTGGTTTTTAATTTAATAATTCATTCCAGAAGCTGGCCATGAACAGTGTCTCCTGGGAAGGGAGAAGGACTGGAGTGTCCTTCCACACTGAGAGGTGTTTTCCCTTGGATCATCTGGTTTTCTTCCCTGTCCTCCTCCCCAAAGGCCGAGCATTCCGGCGTGGCCTCGGGTGCTCCTTGGATCCTCAGCATTCTGGTGTTTTGTTTTCCAGGGCTTGTGGCTGCCTTGGGATTTAAAAGCCAGACTGGAGCTGCAGCAGGGGCTCCTCCATGTCATGGGCTCCTCCACTCCATGGTGGTGGCCGAGCTGCTTTAGCCAGGAGCTCAGCTGTGCAGGATGAATTCTCCCAAAGACCAACTTGGCTGTTTTGATTCCAGGTCCAAATTCATCGGCATGGTGATTGAGCCGAGGGATTAGCTGAGGTCTCCCTGGGGGCAGCTATTTTGGGGATATGGAGCGCTGCTGGCAGAGCTGGGGCTGCTGGAGGGGTCGGGTGCCGGCCGCCCACCCACGAATGCGTCAACAGGAGCTGGTGACTTGCAGCTATTTTTCCTGCTCGGCTCTGGCCGTGGCCAGGGAATGGATTTGCCTGACGGTCCGTGCACGGCGTCGGCGCAGCAGGACGGGGGGACGCAGCTGCGGGTGTCACTCCAGCCAAGCAAGGCATCCTCATCCCAAATATATCCACCCCGCGGCATGCCTGAATATCTCCAGGGAATGCTTTCCCCTCGCCGCGGGCATCCTGCGGGGAAGGAGCTCCCCGGCGGGAGCGTGCTGGTCTGACAGCTGCAGCCAGGGGTGGAGCTGCCTGCTCCCGGCTCGCCTGGTACCCGGCCCTGGCTGGGGGCTGCTCCCGCAGCTGCCAGCACGCTCACGCTGTGCCTTCACGTTATTTGTCCATGATTTACACAAAACAGATTGATCCATTCCCTTATTATCTCATTATCTACTTATTTATCTTCAGCTTGCCAGGTCCCACTGGATACCCCTTCATCCTGTCCCCGAGCTTGCCCTGCAGAGGAGGAAATCGGTGTTTTCTTTTAATTTACAAAGCAAAAGGAAAGCCTTGTGGTGTTTTTCTCTTCTGAAGCGTGGAATTTGGGTAGGATAGGAAATATCCTTGTACTTGTGGCAGAAGAGAGAGCAGTCAGTCCTGTGAACCCCAACCGCAGTGTAACACCGCCCGCATCCAGGTGCGGTCAAGGAATAAATGCCAGATCCAATTCTAGTCTTGTTTGCAGTGGTAAAAAGACAGAGGAATTCCTTGGGATTTATAGCAGTGTAAGCATTTGGATGCCATGAAACCCTTAATCAGTCCTTGACTGCTTCCCACCAGCAGCCTGGCCCCATCCCCATTCATCCCCATCCCCAGAGTGTCCTTTAAACCCAAACCTTTTCCAAGATGACAAGGAAAACAGTTTTAATTGCAGTTCACATTGGGTAAGGAAAAATATTGAGAAGTAAGCTAGGCTGTACTTTTCAGGGCCAGCTGCCTGTCTCCCTGCAGTGGTGGGATCGTTTGGCAAAATCTACCCTGCTCCTAGTGCTATCCTACGGCAGCTCAGTAATCACAACAAGGGAGAAAAGGCCTTCTCCAGGTGGGATGAATGTTAGAAGATATAGAGAAAGAAAGCCAGAATTTGTGACTTGCTCACACAAGT